ATTTGGTTATAATACAAAAATTTTAACATTTAATGGCATTTTTTTTTATTAATTTAATTAATGAAGATATATAAAACCAACGTACAATGTATGTAAACTGAATGGTTGAATATATTTTGCTGGTTCAGTTCAAACTGGCATATGTACTCTCCCACATCCTGCTCACCTGCAATCAAAAAATTTCCATCACCATCATTGTCACACTCAAGTACCATCATTTTCACATCATTATTAGAACATTTATCATAAACATTATCATTATTCTAGATATATGAATATCCAACAATACTCTTGATAAATGCTTCCATTGAATTTCCTTACCAACATTCTTAACAGACAAAGTTGTATCTGTAGTAGTATCTGAGTACGTTGTGTTCATAACATATTTTGAATATAAGGATGATGACGTGGAAGATGATGATGATGATGATGAATACGGTGATGGCCATGAAGATGACGAAGATGTCAGTGAGATACTGCTAGCGATCTGAACATCGGATTTGAACCAGCTAACACCGGCTCTGACATCACCATTAACCAGTGAACAGCTGATCGTTGTTGAATTGCCAGCGTGCGTTATCAAACTTGACTCACTCAAAACTTAGGGTGTGGAATTTTTAAAGGATATAATATTGGAAAAAATTTCAATAGAATCATTTTTCATCTCCAAAACTTAATTATTTAAAAAATATATATTAACTAACCTTCCAAGACGTAGACATCGACAGCAAATGGCATATCTGTACCACTTTGAACAGAGCATTTGTAGGAGCCAGAGTCCCACGTCTGAACATCTTTCTTCTTCAACTGCAAGAAATAAACTCCATTTACTCTGGCCAGAATGAGAAAACCAGTTTCTGATGAGCTGTCAATAACTTTATATTCTCTGTTCAAGTCGGTGGGGTCTGATTTGGACCAGACAACCCTGAAACCTTCTGATTGCTCGCACATGAGATCTAGATCGCTGCCTGATTTTAGATAAACTGGTAGAACTTGGGGGTACGTTATGTGGGTCTTTGCTATAAAATTCATTAAATTTAAAACCATTAGATTAGAATATCTATCAAGCATTCATAACAATAATATCAAAAAAATGTCCAAAAATATCAATTAAAAAGGCATGGTGTTTCCACTAACGTTTCACTGGTCCCAAAACATAACACAGAAAGTAGCAAGATGTCAAAATCACTGACTCCCTCATTGTTTAATCAAACGATCAATACATTTCGTTTAAATTTTACTTGTTTAGCGTTTAGCCACCATTGACAAAATGAAAAATGTACTCCAGATGATCAAATTAAATCTTGAAAAGTGGTCATCTTAAAAATTCCTTCATGAGATTAATTTATGGCGGATTGCACTGCAAAGCTGCTGAAGAAATTGGTGTAGTAACCACACAGGCGATACGATGTTATTGATATTATCTCACCTCAATAATTTAATGTCTGTTAATGAGTTGATAAGTGAAATTTTAACTATTTATAATATTTGACTGTAGATTGCAACACGAATCAGTATTTTGACGATAATGTTTGTGGCAATCAATCAAGATTAATTAATGACATAATCGAGTGAACGGAAACAAACTCAGCTTACAACATTATTACAAGCATTTCGAATATTTTTATTATGTTAATTTTACAAACAGCCATAAAATTGTGTCAAAAATAAGTTAGCTCATCCCTGTTTAAAGAGACATAATTTTTTGTTATTAACTAAAAGTGAAGTTTGTTAAAAAAATACTTTTTTTTAAATTTAAAATCTATCAAAGCGTTTTTTTTATTATTTTATTGTAAAAAAGTACATCATGGCTGAAATTATTGACCCCAGAATATTAACCGATCAAGAAATTGAATTACTCGAAAAACAAGATAAACGATTAGTGCCGGAATTTAGGCAGAAGAAATTAGAGGAAGAGGTGTGCAAGTCTTGGGATCTGTTTTATAAAAGAAACGAAACAAAATTCTACAAAGATAGACATTGGACGGCCAGAGAATTCGAAGAACTTCTGCCAGAATCTGTAATTTTTAGCTTTTTGGAAATTATTTTTTTCTATTAGAATTAGTTAGAATAATATTCATTAGTAGCATTAGTTGTTTTGTTTATTTATTAAGTTGTAAATAAAAAAGAAATTAAAAAAATTATTCAATTTTGTTTTAAAACTTTTAAAAAATGACGTCCAAAATATTTATTTAGATTTACACTTGACCTGCATGCTGCTACTAATCCTAATCTTTTCTTGACTAATAACGAATTAGCTTCTTATACTTTAATTATTAATTTAAGGTTTTTTTGATAAAAATGAATTTAAAGTATAAGCATAACTTATAAATAATTCACATAATAACTATCAATGTTCTATTTTTTGCCTACAGCTAGAAAATAAACATTTACTAGAAGTTGGGTGTGGTGTAGGAAATTTCATTTATCCTCTTGTTCAAGGTACTTCGACGACATACTTTCATGCCTGTGACTTTTCTTCGAGAGCTGTCGAGTTTGTTAAGGTAGGCTATCAAATTATTAGCCATTAAATGTTTGTTTATTTAAAATTTATCCTGTTGTGCTAGATTATAGTTGTATTCCACAGAAAAATGAGTTATATGATAGCATCAGAATTAATGTGTTCCATTGTGATCTGACAAGAGACTCACTTTCCACATCAATACCTTGTGCATCCGTTGATATTGTCAGCCTAATTTTTGTTCTCTCTGCAATTCATCCAAACAAGATGATGACAATCGTTGAAAATTTAAAATCTGTAAGTTATAATAGTATATTTTCAGATGTGTATTTTATTATCGTGTATCAAATTGTGATTTATAATTTTCAGGTCTTGAAATCAGGAGGCAAGGTGTTATTTAGAGATTATGGGAACAAAGATCATGCCATGCTTAGATTTGCACCTGGTCAGAAATTATCAGATAGGCTTTATGTTAGGCAGGACAACACCAGAGCCTATTATTTCATTTTAGGTTTTTTTTTCAAATTTTGCATAATAAAAAACAACTTAATCAAAATTTTTTTGTTTTACAGAAGAGTTACAGAAAATATTTGAATCATCTGGATTTCAAACGGACAGGTTGAGTTACATATACAGAGAAACCGTCAACAAAAAGGAAAATATGTGGGCTCAAAGGATATTTCTGCAAGGAGTTTTCATCAAAACATGACATGATCTTTTCAAATAAAATTTTTTTAAAGAGCTGTTCTGTTGTACTATCTGTTTTACAATCGATCTGCTTCTTTTCACGGTACCGTGAAGTGACGATTTGCAGATATGAACTTGTGAAATTTGAATCAGCCAATGTTTTTGCTTCATTTTTGACATAAGTCACAATGCTCTAGCATTTTAAAACATCAGATAACGTGAATTCAAATGTTACAAACATTATTAATTAAAAATTTGGTAGCTGGCGTTCCATCGTTAACGGATTTTTGTCTCACTACCATTTTAATTTTACGATTTTTAATCTCACTTCTCATTTAGTTTTTTGCTTCGTTTATTTTAAGATTTTGCTCTGTTAGCCTAATAATTAGCAGCCGGCGATTTGTTAAATTAATTGTTACATCAAATTGCAGTAATTTTTATTTGTTATGGCGACATCGGGAGTAACTGAGATTCCGCTTTCTGAATTATCGCTCCCCCAACTTACTCAATTATCCCAACAGTTAGATAAAGTGAGTCGTTCATTATGAAAAATTATGTTATTCGATTGCATTCACGATGTCATACTAAATAACGCTTAACTACCTCAACTGTTCTGCCCTGATTGATCTACTATAAAAAACTATAATTTCTATTCTAATGGCCAAAAAATAAGAATATTAAAATTAAACCAAAACTTTAAAATTAAACAAATTTTAACTTGTAATGTAAACCTGAAAATTTGTCCAAGTCACTATTTATTGCATTGCCTAAAAAACCTGATGCAACAGAATGTGAACTACATCAAACAATGAGCTTGATGAGTTATCTTATAAAACTTCTCTTGAGAATTTTGATGATGAGAGCAAGAAGCAAAATCAGATTTGAAATTTCAAATATCTAATGTTAATATTTTACATTTCAGGAAGTAGATGTCTTACAATCATCACTGACAAGTCTTAAGATTGCCCAGTCCAAATTTGCATCATGTAAAGAAGTGCTGAATGAAATTAAGGCAAAAAACATGAACAAAGAACTATTAGTACCTCTAAATAGCTCAGTATATCAATTTTATTACTCTACGCCATGATAATAATTATTACATTTGTCATTTATTAGTTTTTCAAATATGATAATTATTAGTTATTTTATTCCAAAGTCATGGCTAAGCATGTCTTCTTGCTTTCAGATATATGTGCCTGGTGAAATATCAAATACAGATTATGTCATGGTTGATATTGGCACTGGCTACTTTGTAGACATGGTTAGTAAAAATATTAGCGAAATATTTTTATTAGTAAGATATTACATAAATATTCAATAAAAAGTTGTTTAGTTAAAGAAAAGATGAACAAGTTTATTCAGTTGATTTAATTATTTCAGAAAGTAAACAAGGCAAAAGATTATTACCAGCGTAAAGTAAAGTATTTAGAAGAGCAAATGGGTAAGCTGCAGTCACTCTATCAAGAAAAACACAGATTCAAAGAAGGTAGGTCAACTGATCAAGATTTATTCTGAATTTAGACAAGTTTTACTCCAAACTTGTTTGCCTAATGACTCATTCATTATCTAAAACTTTTTCAGTTTGTGATTTGTATGTTATAGTATTTTTCAGGTTATAAATTATCGCCTAAAATTTTTTGGAATAATGATCATTTTCAAAATTTGCTTTGTTAGTGACCCTTGAATTATTCTTTTTGCAGCAATCATAGATCTGCTGCAAAGTAAAGTTCAAGCCCAGATGTCACAACAGAAGGCATCAATGAAATGACATTTTAATAGAATATAATGAACACCTGTCTCAAATATTTTTCTAACATTTAATTAATTGATTAAAATCCTTTTATGAAGTTTAAAAATGAACATTGATTGATAGGATAAATTTCTTTATAAAAATTCAGTTTAATATTTGTTATACATGTGTTGTTCATAACGTTATTACCATAGCGAACATGCATGCTAACTGAAAGTTTTAGCAACTGTCCTTTCACACACACACACACACTCATTCTCATCTAATTCATTCATTTTTGCCAAAAATTTCAAATACAGATTTCAAACATCCTGATTACCAACATCATTGCCATTAAAAAAAACATCATTTCGTTTTTATTGAATTGTCAAAATAATTTCTTCGTTCATCGTTGATTGTTACTAATTAATGTAAAAAGCAAATGTTTTGTTAAAAATATGTATGTACATGTATATGTGTGTGCGTGTTGTGTGAGTAGAATGTGATTTCAAGACATGGAGCCCCCGACTTGCTCCTGATACACCTCAATCACATCTTCATCTGTCATACCGAGCTTTAGAGAATAAAACAAAATAATTTTATAAGTAACTTACATATGTTTAAAGTTATTTACATTTTAGAAATTATTAATGATGATATAATTGAAATACAAAAATGACTTGAATTCTTATGAACGTTGGAATGTAATAGATACCTGCTTTGGTGTCTCATCATCATTCAACCTTCTGCCATCAAACAGGAATCTTAGGTACCCTATAGGCACCCCCTAGGAAAAATATTGTCAAACTAGATGTGAGTAGTGCAAAACAGCATATAAAATAAAAAATGGATAAGTTTTTATTGGTGGCACTATAAAACAAAGAGATCAATATCAGTTGGGCGTCACGATGATGAAATGGTTAAAGTGCCTGGCACTGTTAATGTAGTGACCGGGTTTGAATCTAAAGAAATCCCCACCTGTCACATGCGAAAAATATGTGATGCATTGTTTCATGTGTAATTATATATTGTGTGTTTGTCATAATAGTAATGCGTCTCATAGCACTATATAAATTAAAATTACATTATTATTATTGGTATTAAAATAGACATAATTAATTAATACTATTAAGTAATATTACTAATAAATATTCAGGTGCTGCATAATAACGAAAATAGAATTAATCAAAAACTAGATTACAATGACACACTTGTCTCTCGGAATAAGATTTTTTTAATTTGCTCATTTTTGTAGTCATCTTGACTTTAAAATGGACCTCACTCTGATCCTGCATTTTGTTCAATAAAAATTAATAAAAGCTAATTTAATTAATTTCAAAAAATTAATCCGACAAGATCGGCGAAAAAAATGTCATCTAACGAATTATCTCACCTGTCCCATAACTTTGAGCCTTATAAATTCTCCATTTTTTTCGTCAACTTTCTTGGAGTCATCTTCCTTGCTGGCACCAGCAGTGGCAGATTTTTCTTCCGAATCGCTCATATTTCTGTAGATATATCTTTAAATTTTATCTAATTTGAAAAATTTTTATTTTTTTTTTCAAAACGTGTTGACGATCAGCCTTTAATAAGAGAGCAAAATTTTATGGAATTAACGCAGCTAGAAATGCAACGAACCAACAACAAACATGGATTCCACGCGGTGTTGACAATGTCTTCATTTTGCATGTAGCCATTTTTTCAATATATTTGGACTTTTCCAAATACTTATCACAAAACCATAATTCACACGTGTTATATGTTTTATAAATACGTGTAACAAATTTGTTTTTTTTAAATAAAATATTTATTTTTTAGATACACACAACATCTTCAATCTAAAATTTTATAAATCAAGTTCTATATATCAACTTCCATAACAAAGCTTCATGGTAACTACCACGCATTAAAGTTCTAAGAAAATGGACAAGCCACTAATAATTTCATTATTAAATTGTAATTAGTTTTAAATTTGGTTAGCAGCATATGTATTTGTATAATAATTCAACACACTCGATTCAAGACTATTCAAAAAAGTAGAAAATAATAACCACGTCATCCATCCTCTACTACAACCAATCAAAACTACTACACACAACCTTCGTCTACGCAAGCATAACTATCAAGTCCGCCACCCAATCAACATATCAGGAAAAGATCTTCATCACAAGACTTCTTAAACATATTAGCACTCAATAAAACATTCATTCACACAATTAGTTTTTTTTATCGATCACCTCACTAACTTAACTAACTAACTTAATTAAGTCATCATCTAGTCTAATAACAAATTAGGGGAGATGGGGGCACATTGATCTGTTTTGAGGTTTTTTTGTAACAACAGTGAAACTAACCAAAAAGTGAATATTAATATTTGTGCAATTTACAGAGGAACATTCATTTAATGTATTAAGTTCAGTTTCAATTGTATAATACAAGAAATTTTTAAAAAAATTTAACTTTGGTACAACCCCTACAAAGGATCAAAGCACCCCATATACGGGGTACCATGATCCCTCCCATGGGGTACATTGATCCTAGGTATAAATCAATATGATTTGATGTTCATTTGCCTCCAAAAAACTCGTTAAAACACATTGGATATAATAATTCATAATTTTTA